GTATGAACTATACACGGACCAGTGTGCTGAACAGAACATACAGCTCGTGAAAAAGAATAGATACAGAAAGATTTTTGTTTCCAAATTTGATTTTGGTTTTGAGTCTCCAAATTCAGATACCTGCAAAGTTTGTGATGCGAAAGAAACGAATGATGAACATGTGAGACGGTATAAGACAGCGTTTGAAGAACAAAAAAAGACAAAAAATTGGCACATGATGGTGACATTTTATACATAAATTTTCATATCCAAAAAACATTACCTCTACCAAACCTCTCTACCAATGTGGCTTTTTATCTAAGACAAGTGTAGCTATACAATTTGGGGATTCACTGTGTAAGTAAAGGTGGCGCCTTTGGTAAAGGATTTTTCCACCTTTGAACTGAAGACAAAGGCGGTAGAGGCCCACAAGAAGTTGAAAGCAGTATGTTATCATTCCTGCAGAGCATTGATAATGAAAATGACCACTAAGTAGCCTGGAGCGATTCTGCGGGTGGACAAAATAAGAATTTTGTCATTATTTGTTTGTGGCATAACCTAGTACACCAGGGAATTTTTAAAACTGTTGATCACAAGTTTCCAGAGGTTGGCCACAGTTTTATGGATATTGATAGACTTTGGCGCTGTGGAAAGTTATTCTAAAAGTTCAAAACATTTATACAGTTGCTCAGTACATGACGTTAATAACGGAAGCTAGAAAGAGGAATCCGTTTGTATTAACTAGAATGGAAGATTAATTCATTGATCTAAAAGAACTGCCTAGAAAGCTCAACTTGTTGGACAGAAAAAAAGTAACAAGGGCGAAAAAATACTTTTTCGCAATGCAAGATGGGTAACAGTTTATAAATTTGGTACAACGAAGTATAAATTAATATTCACTAGATGAGACAGAAGAGTGGAAAGAAGGAGAAATTATTAAACCTAAATCAACCCGAACAACAGGACACGAACATTTTTTTGTTCCATTAAATTAGTCCCGACCTATGGCAACCAAAAAATTCGACAACATTTAAGAAAAACTCCCATATACTCCAGAACATTTGAGGTGATTTTATATAGGCTTAAATCGATCAGAAAGTGATTAGTATTACTTATTTTTGTATCTTTACTCGTTATTATTCCGATTAAAACAATAAATGGTTGCGCACGAAGGTGCTAACTCAGTTTTCATTGTGAAAAAAATCGAAATCATCTCACAAACCACAAGAAATGATAAAATCTTACCCATCATATCAAAATTACTCCTATTGACTGAGTTTTGGCTCAATTCGATTTTGATTTTAGCAGCAGAAAAAGCTCCAAGAACAATATTTCAACCCTTAACATCTCAAAATTTGTAAAAAGTGACATGACACATTGATGCACTAATAGCTTCAATTATGATTTGAAGCAAATTATATATTACTGTAAGAAAGAGTCGCCGAAGCACTCATTAGGAAATTTAAAAAAAAAATACTGTTCATTTTAAACTAAGTGTTCACATATACAGGGCAACTCACGCTCGATGGTAAGTTAGTCGTTTATGGAGAACGCAACGCAGGATTTTTCTGAAAATTTCCCATCTTACATTTCATCACCTGTTTTATCGATATAAAATATTTTCGAAATTGCGACGGTGCCGTTTCTATCAAAAAGTCCTAGCAACTTAATTTTTTTAAATGGAACACCCCGAATGTAAATACATTTTTAGAATCGCCTTCCCAACGATCGTCAAACATTTCGTGAAGTTTCCTGGAAACTTCCTGATTTAAATGAGCTAGCGTCCCGTCCAGTTGGAACCATGAATTCCTATATTCCTATGAAGGCGAATTTTCGAAGAAATCTGTAACAGTCAATATTTGCAAATATCTCTCAGCATTCAGTGTGCCATGGTAAATGAAAAAGCTGATTTTATTCATTTTATACAGAAAACGTTCAGGTCAAATTTTACTTGAAAACCCATTTCATTTGTCATATGAGAATTATGATCGGCCCAAAAATGCTTATTCCTTCTATTGAAAGTCCCATCCCCCGTGAATTTTGATTTGTCGCTCCAAGTTATTTCCGACAAAAATTCCGGATCCTCCTGGGTATGTATTAAAAGGGCACTTTACGCTAAAAGTCTTCTACTTTGAGAGCATGAACTTCACTGAATTTATACGGATGCATTTTATGATTCCCCAAAATTATTTGTACTGAAGCATGTGATACACCCGAAGATAGATAGATAGATTTATTCAGATATAGAGGATATTTACAATGTATAGTACCTAGTACAGTAGTTTAGTAGTTGTCAATAAGGTTCTGAGATACATTCTCAACAGTCCTGTGCCATCTAAGCTGAGCTTGTGGTATGGTGCAGACTGTTTATATTTGTTTCAATGTGTCCATATCATAAAACCCTATTGACGAATGAGAATAAATGTATTTAAATGAATATTACATTGGTGAGCCTGGCATTGCCTACCTACCTCGATGATAAAATGAAATAAAATAGTTTGAGAGAGAGAAAGAGAGAGAGAGAGCGAGAGGAAAAGAGAGGAATATGGAGATTTTTTCCAATCATTCAAAAATAGTTTTCAACTGTTCGTAGTGGTTTTCAACGAAAATTCTTATTTCTGTTTTCAATTTTTTATGGGTCTTGATATTCTTTATATAAAAAGGTAATTGATTGTACAATTTTGGACCGAAGTATGTAACAAATTTTTGATTATGACTCAGCCTGCAGCGTGGAACTTTGATAACTTGGTTTGAAGTCATACGGGTGTTATACGGATGCGAAATAATTTTATACACCCAATCTTTTTCTGTACTAAGAATGGATGGTAACAGGTTTTGGTGATGTTGTAGGCGATTTTAACTTTGAGCTATAGTTGATAAAATTATTTTGAAATTTTAAAAACCTCCTCTCGTTCATTGGTGTCAATTCAGGATACTTTTGATTGCATTTTCTGCATGTTCTGGCAATGATTTGATCAAATTGTCCATGTATAATAAATAACTGCATTAGAACTTCATTTGAATAATCGATATTTGCGGTCATTCTGGGAGATTTTTTGAAACAATGTCAATAAGAATAATTACTGAATTACTCATTAATGTCACCGAACTGTCATGAGTTTTATATTTCCATGGCTATCTAAAATTAACTTCATGAATTTATATTTTTCACAAAAAGCGGCTTTATAATTAAATCTTGATGATTTAGATATAAGGACATGATATGTTATCTTGTAGAATTTTTCTTCGTCCTTCAATTTGTTGAGTAACAAACAGTGGGTCCCATTTAAAAAAAATGAACTTTTGACCACTTGTATGAACAACGGATATAATAATTATTTCAGCAGGCCCTGTATGATATAGAGGATATTTCTTGGTGTTAATTGAATACATCAAGTCTGTCCAAACCACCACTGAAATATCGACTCTTCATAAATTGGGAGCCCTGATTTTCTCAAGTTCAATTAGGGATATGTTTTGGATCATCTTTTTCACAAATTATTTTTTACCTCGAAAACCAATAGAGATAGGTATAGGCATTTATCAACAAAAGAGTATTGTAATGAAAAGGCAATTCTGAAAATGTATTAATATTCGGAGTGTTCCATATAAAAAAATCAAGTTGCGAGGACCTTTTGATAGAAAAGGCACCGTCGCAAATTCGAAAATATTTTAGATCGATAGAACAGGTGATAAAATGAAAGATGCGAAATTTTCAGAAAAATCCTGCGTTGCGTTCTCCATAAACGTCGATCCTACCATCGACCGTGAGTTACCCTGTATATGTAATGTGTAGAGACATATCAGTCCAACGTAAATATTCATCGCATCGCACATTATGAAGATGAACGAATTTTCTTGCTCTGACCACCGACCTATTACTCTATCTAGACTGATAGTAAACATATCGCTTCTGCTCAATACGCAGAAACCCCCAAGCTGTCGTTCATGACTGACGTGGTATCTTAATCAACCTGATATTGTTCTACAATTATTTCCAGGTAGTTTTTCGTTCATGTCGCCAGGGCTCAGGGGTCGGCTTGATAACAATAATATCAAAATCAAGAGGTGATATAAATTTTTCAGTTTTATTTTCGCCAATCCTAGGAAAAATGAAGTGATTTGTTCTTTGGTGTGAGAATTCAAGGAATGATAATACCAAAGATGTTTATTTTCATCGGTGCGTTTGTGGGTAATGAATAATTCATCATTTTAATTTGGTTCCGTCATCAGGTGAGCAAGTATCGATTCAATGGAATCATGCATGTTTTGTATATTCATACAGTTGTTAAGAATTTGAGCTCAGGCATGAGGTGTCATACCTGCTCATCAATTTTGGATTAAAAGTAATTTCGAAGAATGAGATAAATTAATTGTTTGAGGCTATTATGAGACCATTGGATCTCAGCCACTCAGTGAGGATATATTCAGACCATTTCACACCAGACAGCATTCTGATACTTCCAGGCAAGTCCAGGGCATTGAAATCATATACAAATTCGCAGTTTTTTGAAATAAAGTTCTGGAATCTGAGTATTTGGAAACTATGAGATCTGAATACTGCATATTTCAATCGTTCCTCACTACTATATGTATGGTTCATCAACCTTCCATAGTAGACTCCTTCCAACCTTTTTCCATCGATACGCCCATGTTCCTCGGATTCATGTGTGTTACTAGACATATCCCAATTTTGCATTAATCAGTTTCACCAGTTCGATTTCCCGAGTGGTCCATCTTTTTCTTTTTAGAATTGGCGGTCTAGATTAGTCTATAAATCGGTGGTTTTGACAGGAAAGCCGCGGCAAGCTGCCGAAAATTTTCATGTTAACACAAGTTTTTTTTTGTGTGTTGCCGAGGTGATTGTCCAACTGTAAACCTAGACAACAAATATTTTTGGGCGAATAGAGAGAAAAATAATAAAAAAACAAGTGATTTCAAAGTTGATTTTTCCATATTTAGGGAAAAGATCAGTATCAGTAAAAAAACACGATTTTATCAAAAAAATCAGTTGCTCTCACCTCCAACATCTCTCAGCTGATGGATACCGGGAACAGCACCGATTTTATCAACTTCGTCTAGGAACACTATTCCGACTTGCGCCTTCTCCACGTTGTAGCCGGCGTCTTGAAGCAATTTTCCAACGACACTCTCGATGTCTTCGCCCACATAGCCCGCTTGCGTTAGGGTCGTGCAATCGCAAATCGCGAAGGGCACATCGAGACATTGAGCTATAGTCTGCGCTAGAAGGGTTTTACCTGCGGAAATGAAATTTTTCAAATAATTCAAATGATTATTCAGATCCATGAGCGATTTTTCTGTGGAGTATGGAAATAATTTGAGTTTCCAATAAGCATCGATTCAATTTTTGTCTGTATACATTATTCATTAGGTTTTCCACCTAAAAAATACAAGTTCTCTATTTTGAATAGGAATATTCATTAACATATAAAAATTATACATACAGTGTATATCAGCCAAGTGGAATGAATGTGCTAATGGATGAACGGGGGCATGTTGAAAAAACTCTCAGACACGTCGATTGATATCTTTAGACGAGCATTCTTCCTAATAGAAACTTTCTAGACAGGGTGTGTCATGTAACAGCGGCTAATACCAACTTTCATATTCCAAATGCAAAACCGTGCGTTTTATTCAATTTTTGAATTCTTCATAAAATTCGGTGTAGACATATTTCACAATGTTCCATACGCATCTTCAACTGCTGCGGAAATATGTTTCATGAAATATGCGAGTAACATCTAATTATTGTGTCCGTAACCAATCATCTGTAGAATTGTTATTTCGTGTATTTCTGTTGAATGGACTATTTTCCTGACTATAACACTGACAACTAGGGCTGTGCGATATTGGATTTCACAGATCGATTATCGATAAGTTAAAACATATCAATGAGTTCGATAAGCTCGATAAATCGATAGTTATCAATATATCGATATTTTTCAAATTATTTATCGTTATATATTTTTTTATCGCTTGGAGCGCACGAAAGGGAATCCCAATAATGTTCAAAGAACATCGTGCGTTCCTAGGGAGGATAGGGATAGGAGGTAAGTATTGGAACTTTTTTTGAACTTCTGTAAATTCATCAAAATAATCATTTTTTTTTTCTCCAAAACCAAACGTTATAGAATCTTCAACCATACTAATTGAATCTGGAAGCTACCTACGCGCAATATATTTTCACGCCTCAACAAAGTTTTATGAAGAAATAAGAAAAATAAAAAATTAGAAATTTTGAAAATATTATAACTATTGTCTGGATATTACGAAAGCGTCCAGGGGTCACACAATCGAAATAAAATCATTTTTGCCAATGTATTGAGAAAAAATGGAAAAATTGAGCTCCCATTCATTCATTATCGAATTTATTCCATTTGGTTGATACACAGTATAACGAGAAATACATCGATACTCCACGCCCTGTATGATAAGAATGAATTCGTTTTTCAACTGACAAAGTTCTCTACCTAAGGCAATATACTATTTCATAATTGCTTGTTTTCATAGTGTAACTCTATCAATTTCGAATTAACGGATCGAAATGAATTAGGGATAATTTTAAACGCGAACGACAAAGATATTATTTGCTATACCACTTTTTTTTGTAGAAAAATATCATTACAGGAAAGGGACAATATCCTCAACTTATGCAAACAACATAGACGTTTATAGCTTTACCACATTTGTCTATCTTTCAGGTTCGAGAAAACGTTTGGTGTCACCCCCTACACAACTTAGTACAAATATTGAACTAACCTGAACCGGTCGGACCCAATAACAAAATATTGCTTTTTTCCAATTTTAGTTCATGTGAAGTCCTCTCCAGTATATCAGAACCGGTTGGTTGTGTGGTTCTGGGACCCAACGAAGATTCAAATGCTCCGAAATTCATTCCCAAAGTTGCGTTACCCAAACCAGTGATGTGAGGTGAATCTGAAAAAATAAATGACATCTGTTTGTATTATTATTGATAACGCACGAGGTTGAAGAAATTACAAGTGTGTTAACTTCTGCGTGATTGCACTGCGACTCGAGGAGTTCACTTATTCCTCTAAAATTCAGTATTTCATGAGCCTCTGCTAACATCAGGAAAACCGAATTATTCATTTACAAACAAAGAAAAAATATCAATTTATTTGAAAGCACATTCCACAAGATTTCCTTCCTGCACTAGATGGAAAACCAGAATCTACCGAAATTTTGATTGATAATAACATGGATACCTTTGTGGTTGCTTCACCACGTATTTTCTTCCATAACGGTATTTGGTATATGAAGGTAGGCACCCTCAAAAACCGTGATCATTTTGTAGAAGTTTTAATAATTGACATCATATCTTTTTTTTTTCGTGCCCAAATGAGATAGTAATTTCACTTCTTATATTGAGGGGTTTGTTTGTTATACTTCGTTTTATTCCAAACGAAAATCCTGCATATAGCAAATCTAACATTGTTTACGTACGAAACCTTGTATTATTAGGTAGGTAGAGATACCGCGGCCGTGTTATCGTTGGTCTGTGAGCTGGTCCAACACATTTTGTTGTATTTGGCTGAACTATTTAGTTATGATTCTCCGTTTATCAGGTACTGTCAGTACACGATATCTTACCTGGGCGAGGCCTGCCTGTTGATCTCCGTGAATTGTAGCATAGGTGGTGAATCTTGACCATACTCGAATTGTAAGATCTTTTATAGATAGTCAGTCTACAATTTCTTTTCCATTTCGATCATTGTTTTGTTTACATCGAAATAATTTTTAATTAACCAATATGTCACTGTCAAAAGTGTCACCTGGCGATGACTGACAAGTGAGTGCTATTTGCGAGCTAATCTTCTTTTGTTAACGTATAAGCACACTTCTTCTCTATCTTAAGCCGCTGTCAGAAGAGGTTATTGACAATAGTTCGGTTATATTATTTTTGTAAAATGGGGTCTTGTTCAGACAATAATTATGATTGAAGGGTTTTGTTCGACTCACAACCCCTTTAGTTTGTTATTCGATTACTATTTTGAATATTCGATGTGATGTACTCATGGGTTGTGTCCCATCATGTCAGTGGCTCTGGCAGAGGAAGAAGATTCCTTACGTAATTCTGACGCCTTCTTCGATATCGGCGCATGTCCGAATTCGAGAATATTCTAGATTTTTCTGGAATTAATTGATGCTCATCAGGTTGGCTGTGGTGCAATAATATCCGCTTCTGTGCTGTGCTTCGGAAGTGTAGTCTGGCGAGAGTCAGGCCATTTTTCTTTTTCAAAAAAAAAAATGTGGTGTAAAGCCATTTAGGCTCAAGTGTTGTGTTGGTGGTCGGGATGGCTCCCACCAACAAGGCTGACTGCCATATCAGGATGGCAAGAAAAACATTCTTCCGGCGGGAGGACAGCCCACTGAAACCGGCGAGACTCGGGATTCATTTTGGAAACCTTGAGTGGACCACCTCGTGGTACAAGTAAGCCTGAGATTCGGTTTCTTCGTGAATAGTTTACTTATAGTAGTTATTTTTCCAATAGTGTTGGGATTATTTGACCGAGAATCTCAATTTTCTGGGTACCTTTGTTGGTTCTGGTACCAGACCTCATTTACGAGGGATTTGTGGCTGAAGAACGAGGCCGGCGTCACTCAGCTTCATCAAACCCGTCTATCATCAAAGGTATGAGGTATTTTCTGATCTATTCGAGTGCTATACATGTTCTCTTTAGGGTTTTTCGTCCAAGTCCCTGGGTACCACCTCTACTAAGAGGCCATAGAGCTGTAGGGGCTCCAATCTGTGGCTGATCAGATCCACAGCCTTCTGTACCTCGCACCCTGAGGATTTACCCTGTAGCACCCCTGCACACCTTTACAACTATGTTCTGCACATCTTCACATCTACGTTCTGGACATCTGTATGCTGTATGCTGCACCCTTCCATTATTTCTGTACTGGATAACTACCACCAAGTATTACTACCTATCAGCCTAGTAAAAAGTTGATTCAGTCCTGAGGGGTTAATATCATAGAAGCTTTGACCTATTCATAGTTTAACATCATATTTTATTATCTTTTGTTGATTTTCACACCTGGAAACCAATGTGCACTGCGGTAGTTATCACCTATATTTCACACATGATTTTATATAATTGTAGGCTGTTCTGGAGAGTTGATCTCAACCAGTCATTTGTATGTACCTTGAGTCAAAGTGACTGCCATCTACTGAACCAGAGAGTTGATTTTGGTTAGTCTATATTATGTATATTAGCCATAATAGCTTTGTTAAAATCACATACAAGAGTATGATATGCCTTGCAGAATATTAAAGGTGATATTTTGGTAGAAAAATATGAGTATTTTCTCTACTGTGCCTAACGTACCCACCCCAGTGTCCTGCTGAGCTACCAGTATCTTATTCTTGCTGTATAGAACAAGGCACTGAAAATACTGAATTTTGTAACAAAAACTTATGAAATTCAAATCACCTAGTGGATTTCAGGCAGATAAACAGCCACCTCAGGGGTAAAATCTCAACTCAGTTCAATAATCCTTACCCCCTGAGTTTTGCAAGTTACATGTTTTATATTGTATGATTCCTCATTATAGGCTGATGATGGATATCTCATATACAGGGTGAGTCGCCATCTGTGTATTGTACACGTAAAAATGATTTAAAAAAACATATGTTCTTATTCGATTCTCATTTGTTTTCATTCTAAATTTGAATAGATGTGTGACATTTTATGAGACTTCAATCGCACACTGACACTGACACTCACACATGTCAGAACAACAAAACGGACCAAACAATCGAGTCTGTACGATTAAAGTCTTATAAAAGGACACACATCTATTCAAATTTAGAATGGAAACAAATGAGACTCGTATAATAACACATGGGTTTTTCAAAATTATTCTTACTCGTACCAAAAACAGCTGGAGTTTGATGCGTTCCTCCCGACTCACTCTGTATATCCGGAAACACTAATAGTAGAGGATCCGAAAGAAGGACGACCTCCACCCATCTGTTTAATGAATGAAAATTATTTCAAAAATAATTTAGCATATTGAAATTTAGGAAAAAATGGATTGCCTGCAAAAAGCCTAACCAGACTGTGAATTAATTAAAAATTTAGGAAAAAAATCATTTCCACCCATGAGTTTGATGAAGAAATTTCACACCAACCGAAAGTATAATGCCTATAGTTTATGCAAATGTAGGTTGCCTATATTTTTCCAGGTCTAAATATTCGGTTACCAGGTATAAACAGGTATTTTGGTCCTAGTTATCTTATCTACATGACAAAGCGAGCAAACAGTAATGTCGCCCCGTCACTCCGTCGCTTTGTGATTGTGCAATGTGAATTTCCAATTGAGTGCTACCGGCTACCCTCATCACGATATAAGAAAATATGATTCATCTTATAATTATGAATATTGTCGCAACTCAGATGGACCTTATTGTTTTTCAAAAATAAAACGAACAATTTATTCAATCACGAAACATAAAAATGTTCCAAAAAGGCGGAACAGTAAAGAACAATCATGAAACGAGCGACAACAAATACAAGATTATGGTCCTTGGTACTTACATTATGTTATGGGCAGCAGCACCAAAGTCGAGGAGACGTCACACCCCGAAAGTGGCATAGTGTCACTTTGGAAGTCAGTCGATGAATGGGTGTTATGTACTGATTTCAATATAATAATTGGTAGTGATGAATCGGATAAAGATTGAACTAATAATGGAAATTCCTTATCGATTCGGGTTCCATTCATATTTGAAATCGATGCTAGATTCGCAATTTTCCGCAATGGGAATGGCCGTTAACTTTCGATATTGCTTACCTCGGTATTATCGCACGGTAAGCGGTTTTTGCAAATTCTAGAGGAACTGTCGTCTTTGAACTCTGCTGACCTGATCGAAACTACAATGTACTGGATGTTTTAATTTGGAAGAGTTAATTTATGATAAAAGATCTTGAAATGAACAAGAGTTTGAGTGATGTCAATTCATAGGCATTTGTACTTCTTAACAATATACTTAATGTTATACTGTGGTCTTCTTCCTGCTGTATTCAAGTCTTAATATCGAACTACGCATAAATAAATACGCATTGAGCACTGATCCACAAGTAAGATTGAAAGTGTAGGTAAACATACTTTTGTATTTGTTAATTAATTTTCATTTATTGAACTTTTGCAGATTGCAGAAATGAGTGAAATGCAGAGTACTTTACTTCATATGTATTTCTTAGTAAAGAAAAACCAAATTTCCAGAGGAAAGTGATGCGTTTAGTTCTGGGTTAGATTAAAAGGCGACTTCTATCACTAGTATCAGTAGTACCCAATGTAGTCATACATCAACATAGTTGGAGGTGAAAGAGGACGCAGAAACAACATATTCTGGTTTGCCAGGAATGCCAGTATTGGAATCGCAAAATATTCAAGATGTTACTAGGCCTTGGATCAGGTGAAATTGATATTGAGAATTATGTGAATAATGAGAAAAGCATATCAAATTTCGACATTTATCGAATACTAAAAAATGCTTTCGTTCCTTGAAAAAATGCATTTTCCCTACTCTTTCCATTTCAAGAATAAAGAGGATGTTAACCCTTTAACGCTCTCTGGTGTCTATACATACCAATGACATTTAAAATCCATAGTTACCGCTGCAAGACATTTCTGTAGTAATTGAAACTTCAGGTCGCGATATTTTTTATTTCAATCAGTTCATAATTAATTCACGTCAGGTGAGTGATCAATTAACATTTATGCATGAATTTGATAGGTTGAGACTCTCAACGTTATATTTCAATATAAAAAATGAAACATTCAACTCGTTGAAAAACTTTATAGCTCTGAAATAATTGATGACATGAACAAAAATGTTGAGGGAGTTATTTTTGCATATTATCATTCGGCTAGGAAAATATTGTCAATTTTCAAATCATGAAAAT